AATGAAGCTGGAGAAGATGAAGAGGAAGATAAGGTTGTTGATTACAACAATGATGCGGTCAGCCTAATCTGAGAAAATATTTGTTATATATCTCTACTGTCATTTAATCTTATAACAAGATGCAACAAACGGAAACGGAAACTACAACAAACTGAAACTGCAACGCAGTTTATGACAACATTTGCTCAAATTTGCAAAGAAACCAAAAAGTAAAGCCATGATTCAAGTACTAAAACTAAGTTCAAAACACATTTAAGTCGATGAGCAATTCTAGCATTCCCATTGACTTGGAAAAATTATTCTAAAATTGAAATATGGAACAGGAAACTGCATTGCAGTGCAGTTTCTAATAAAAAAAATTGCAACAAATAGAAACTGCAATGCAGTTTAAAAAAAAAAATCTGCTTAAATATGAAAAGAAACCAAAAGGTAAAGCCATGATCAAAGTACTAAAACTAAGTTCAATACACATATAAGTAGATGAGCAGTTGTAACATTCCCATAGACTTGGAAAAATTATTCTAAAATAAAAATATGAAATAGGAAACTGCATTGCAGTTTCTGATAAAAAAATGCAACAAACAGAAACTTCAGTGCAGTTTATGAAAAAAATATGCCCACATGTGAAAAGAAACCAAAAGGCAAAGCTATGATCAAAGTACTAAAACTAAGTTCAAAACACATATAAGTAGATGAGCAGTTGTAACATTCCCATAGACTTGGAAAAATTATTCTAAAATAGAAATATGGAACAAGAAACTGCCATGCAGTTTCTGATCAATCTACTACAGCACTAACAAAACAACAACCCAAAAACTTCATGAAAACAAGCATTGAATGACAATTGCAAAGGAATATCCACTAATGAAACAATTGCATAATTTTCATTAACTTCAAAAAACATACCTCAGCAGCAGAAAAATTGAGCTTCACATCAAAATATGAATACTGCAATAGAAGAAGAAGACCAAAAAATATACTGCAGTTTCTAGAAAAACCAAAAGTTCTCATATGTGCAAAGAAAACTGATGAGGCCTTATACGTACAAGTAAAATAACAAATTTTAAAATTTTAAAATTCATAAATTAAATAAAAATAATCCTTAGTGGCATCACTTACATCTATGTTGCATACAAAAGAAAATTGAAGATAAAAAAACTAAAGCAGGTACAATCATCAACAAGCAGCAATCAAGAACTCAAGCAAATACAATCATCAACTAGCAAAAAAGTCTGGTAAAATAAGTACAAAAACAATATATGAAAATGTCTACTAAAAACAAATAATATATGGAAAGCATTGACAAATTAGGGATTCACCTTCTGATTTTCTTTGTTTCTTCTTGCAATCATTTCATGGCTTCAAATTCCAAGTAATTTGTAATATGAGAGAGATGGTGTGGCGTGGAGTGGAGAGGATCAGAGAGAGCACACAATTTGGCCTTGGCAAAGGAAAGAATAAGTTGTAAAGAGTGAAGAAACAATTTGGGCAAAGAAAAAGAATAATCAATTTGGGAAAAGGAATGTTGAAACTTGGTTACCTGGGAGAGGAGAGCACGCCTTCTTGTTTGTTGGGAACTTAGGAGAGGAAAACAACCTATTGGAAACTTGGGAGAGGAGACCAACATCTTGTTAGGAACAAAAACTCTGCCTACAGCCATCTCCTTTATCTTGATCTCCTACAAAGAGAGGTCGAAGAGAGATGAGGAGGTTGTGTAGTCGGCGAGGTCGAGGACCTAAACTCCCGTGAGGTTAACCTCAACTTCCACCAGAGAGAGATTGATGAGAGAGATCTAATTTTAGTCAGGCTTTTAAACAAAAAGGGTAAAATTGTATTTTAACTTTGTAATTTAGACAGGCCCAACGAATCTGGGCCTCCTCTTTGGCCTAATCCAAAATAACAATTCTTTCCTACGTATTAAAACCCAAACAAAAATACTCAATATCTCAAATACTAATTAGTAAAGTTACTTATGTCTAATACCTAATTTTCCTTAAATATATATACTATTCAATTTATTAAGTGTTATACGTACAAAATAAACAAATTTAAAGCTACTCAACGATCCAACCGTCAAACTTGTTTGTTTATACTTCGAGATCATATACGCCAAAAGTCGGAAAAAATAAACATTAAGAGATCACATAATGGGACAAAACATTTCGACGGTTATAAATGAAAAATCAATATTTAACGGTTTTTTCAACTCTGATTTTGATGATTTTTTACAGCTATACTCCTTGACCCTATATGAATACAATGACTATATTCGATCGTCAATTTAAAATATTTACACTAGTGGATACCACAAAATCTTATCTTATATTTAATAAAAGTATAAATAAACTCTTAATTGTTAGTGAATATATTGTTTTGATGGCATATGCATTCTACGAAACTAGTTTCAACGATTCAACCGTCAAACTTGTTTGTTTATACTTCGAGATCATATACGCCAAAAATCGGAAAAAATAAACATTCAGAGATCAAGTAACCGGGCAAAATATTTCGACGGTTATAAACGAAAAATCAAAATTTAACGATTATTTCAACTCTGATTTTGATGATTTTGTACAGCTATACTCCTTGACCCTATATGAATACAATGACTGCATTCGATCATCATTTTAAAATATTTACACTAGTGGATACCACAAAATCTTATGTTATATTTAATAAAAGTATAAATAAACTCTTAATTGTTAGTGAATATATTGTTTTGATGGCATATGCATTCTACGAAACTAGTTTCAACGATTCAACCGTCAAACTTGTTTGTTTATACTTCGAGATCATATACGCCAAAAATCGGAAAAAATAAACATTCAGAGATCAAGTAACCGGGCAAAATATTTCGACGGTTATAAACGAAAAATCACGATTTAACGGTTATTTCAACTCTGATTTTGATGATTTTTTACAGCTACACTCCTTGACCCTATATGAATACAATGAACTAATTCGATCATCAATTTAAAATATTTACACTAGTGGATACCACAAAATCTTATGTTATATTTAACAAAAGTATAAATAAACTCTTAATTGTTAGTGAGTATATTGTTTTGATGGCATACGCATTCTACGAAACTAGTTTCAACGATCCAACTGTCAAACTTGTTTGTTTATACTTCGAGATCATATACACCAAAAATCAGAAAAAATAAACATTCAGAGATCAAGTAATGGAACAAAACATTTCGACGGTTATAAATGAAAAATCACTATTTAACGGTTATTTCAATTTCAATTTTGACGAATTTTTAGAGCTACACTCCTTGACCCTATATGAATACAATGAACTAATTTGATCGTCAATTTAAAAAATATATTTTCTAAAAAAAACCCAATCCGAACTACAATAATATATTTTTCTAACAAAAATCCGATCCGAACTAAAATAATAAATTTAAAGCTACTTAATAAATATATATACCGTTTAATTTCTTAAGTGTTATGCATACAAAATAAAAAAAACAAAAATAAATTGGTTTAGGTGACGAAATATTTGGATTACGTCATGCAAAGATTTTAAAAAATAATTTTTTTATTTTATTTATTTTTGTTAAGACTTTGCGTGACAAACCACACTTGGTAGCGCAATACTTTGTGCAACGAAGTTTAGTAATTGGTCGCGCAAAGCCATGCAAAGATTTTTACAAATAATTTTTTTATTTTATTTATTTTTGTAAAGACTTTGCGCGACGAACAACTCTTGGTAGCGCAGTACTTTGTGCTATGAAGTTTAGTAATTGGTCGCGCAAAGATTTTTAAAAACAATTTTTTTATTTTTGTAAAGACTTTGCGCGACGAACCACACTTGGTAGCGCAATAATTTGTGCAACGAAGTTTAGTACTTCGTCGCACAAAGTCATGCAAAGATTTTAAAAAATAATTTTTTTAAAAATTTATTTTTGTAAAGACTTTGCGCGACGAATCATACTTGGCAGCGCAATACTTTGTGTAACGAAGTTTAGTAATTGGTCGCACAAAGTCATGCAAAGATTTTTAAAAATAATTTTTTTATTTTTGCAAAGACTTTGCGCGACGAAGTTTGTCGTCGCACAAAGTGACTTTGGGCGATGATTGTGTTTCGTTGCGCAAAATTTAGTCGCGTAATACTTGTAGCGACGAAGTTTTGGTTTTCGTCGTGCAAAGTGACTTTGCGCGACGAATTTTTTTTCGTCGCACAAGGGGTTTTTTTTCACTGGTGACGTTTCTTTAGGAATCTATATCCCAACCATGCACCACCAATAAGCAATAATAACAGTCCAAGACCCGCACCAAGACCTGCATATATAACTCAGTAAAATGATAAATGATCACAAATTGCAAACCAAGTTTATGTCTTGTGCCCATAAAATAAAATAAACTGTTTATGGCAATAAAAAAGAGTTTATGTCTAAAATTTCTCTTCACACCTAGGCAGAGGGTTGTGGCTTGGTCTCTATTTTCTTAGTCAATATATGAACTTTGGGCAGGGTGACTTGTAAAGTTATAATATTTATTTGGGTTGTGGATTGTCCTTCTTGGATATCCGATTTACTTATTTCCATTCCATCCCTCTTAATTTCTTGATTTGTTCGTAATTACCAAAGTTTAATAAATACATAACTGCAAATACCTCTTCTTCTTTTTCTTTTTCTTTTTTTATTAAAAGCCAAAGGCCAAAGAATAAAATTGACAAGTCTTCTTTAGTCTTTTGAAGTACATAAATGTCTCATATGTCAAAAGTATTTGAAGTTTGTGACTAGTTCTAACTCTGATTTTCGATCCATCAAACACGGTCGAGGCTTCACGTTAGTTACATTTTTTACGGGTATGCAATTGGTTCATAGTCATGGTCATGAAGCCAAAAGAAATCGAATTTGAGTTTTCCTTCTTGTTTATTTCTGTGGGGTTCGAAACTTACAGTAGCATACATTACAGAACATTATATTCCGAAAGAACATGTGATTGCCTAAACATTAACTGAAACACACATTACAACAATAGTTTGTTCACCATGTTTTCACAGATAATTGTGGAAGTTCGAGTAATGACGAAGTTGGATAATCACCATCACGATCCCAAGCTGACCATCCTGTTCCTGTTGAGCTTGAAACAGCACCCCATTGCTTAATAGATTTATGTTCGACAAATTCTACACCTTCATAATTTTGTTGAGTATTAGAGGATTTTTCTGCCATTTGAAGTGCCTCCAACTCCGCTGTGACCTCTCTCATTGTTGGTCGATTCCTTCCATTCAAATTCAAACATCTTCTTGCAAGGTTAGCAACTACCCTGATCTCTAGTTCAGAGCCCTCCTTCAAAACCAGAGCATCAACAATGTCTAACAGACGATCTTCCTCCATCAATGTAATGAAATATGCAGCAAGACTTCTGTATTCTTTTTCTTTCGCTGAGCTTGTTACCAAAGAGATGTGTATTTATCCAGTCAAGAGCTCAACAAGGACCACTCCGAACAGGGACGGACCATAGGCATAGCTAACCTGGGCTACAGCCCAGGTGGCTTCTATTTTTCCAGCTGATAAAAAAATTATAGCCCAGTCAGTGACGGATCTATTAAGGTGCTACCTTATTTCCATTTTCAGCGTTTAAGTAAATGTCTTTATCCTTTTACTTTCATTTATTTTTATATTACTCCATTTACTTAAGTTTACAATGTAAATAAGGAAGTACCCCCCATTTGGATTCAAATAAAAATACTAAAAAAATCAAATTCCCACTCAATCAAAATATGAAAAATCGGTTTTAGTACAAAATAAGATTTAGGCTAAAAATGATGGCTCATTTAAGTCAATATATACTTCATACTAAAATCCCATAAAATCAAGTTTTCTTATTTGATATGTAAGGAATAAAAGCCGCCAAAAATTATCTTGAGAAAATGATTATTCCAAAAAACTATTTTTTATACTTACCCAATATTTTTACATAAAACAATTTTTCATGTATTATTATTTATTGTTATCAATGAAATTACATAATACGGTTGATCAGTTTTCTATCTACTTAGTATGTTTATATGTAAGTTAAATTTAGCCCAGTAAAGTTTGAAATCCTGGATCCGTCCCTGACTCCGAAGCTATAAACATCACTTTTCTCAGTAAATTGGCTTGACCGAAAGTATTCCGGGTCCAAATAACCAAATGTTCCATGTATAACTGTGGTCAGGTGAGTTTGGTTTGGCCTATGACAATTGATCTCGAAGTTCCAAAGTCAACAACTTTTGCTCTGTACTTTTCATCCAAGAGTATGTTGGTAGACTTAATATCTCTATGATATATGGGAAAGGAAGCAGCAGAGTGTAAGTACGAAAGAGCACCTGAAATTTCCGAGGCAATGCGTAAACGCATTTGCCATGTAAGTTGAAACTCTTCAATATGTCCTTGGATATACCGATAAAGAGTTCCATTGGGTATGAATTCATAAACCAAACACTATGCCACAAATTGGCTTTAGCAACGCTACATTGGCATCAGTAAAACTGAAAACCGATGCTTTAAGTACATTAGGTATCGCTTTTATAAATTATGATGCTAAAAGGTAAAAAGACATCAGCACAAATATTTTGTTTTTGTTAGCGATGCCCTTGATGCCAATTTAGCATCGTCTGTTCTAACGACTGATGCCTAATTTTTTTTTTTTTTGTAAAGGTGGGCGTGTTTTTTGGGAAGCATTGATGCCAAAAGTATAGTCAACGATCCAGCAAAATAATTTCACACTCCCTCTCCTTTTTTCAGACTCCCCTCACATTTTTTTCAATCCCTCCCAAACTCCTCACCATTTTTCAGCTTCTATCTCCTGAAAAAAAATATATAACTCACAATTTTTTTGGATCTCCTTCATCTCCTTCTTCTCTTTCCTCCATCTAGACACTCGAAGTTGGCCACAGAAAAAATAACCTAAGGCATTTGAAGAAAGGGAGAGCCATGGGCATCCTTCTCGTCGTCGAGAGAGAGCCATGGAAATCCCTTCGTTAGGGTTTTAACCTTCGGCGTTGGCGTCCTCTTTCTCGTCGAAGTCGTCCTGTGAGATTATTTAAGTTAGGGTTTCAATGTTTTGGGAAATTTCAGTTAGGGTTTCAATTTATTGAGTAATTTCTCTAATCTTACTGTGTTTTTCTCTCTTCGGCTGGCTCATTGTCTCTTGGATCTCACTGCCCCTCTGGGCTTTAATCTAATGTATGAAAACCTCTAAGCTTTCGATGTTTGGGTGTTTATGATTTGGTGTTAATGTTTCTGATTTGTTTTCATCTTTCTTCAATCTCCTACCTTTTTTGTTTTATTTATGTATTAATGTTTCTGGATCTCATGCTTTCTTTTGGTGCAGGTATTGGGAGGGGACGGATCTACAATTTTCTCTTTCTCAAGATCACTATATCGCTCAACTCATCTATGTGCTCTCAATTTCTAGCTCAATTCATACATGCTCTCAGGCTTTTCCTTACTCATCTCTCTGCTCTTACTCTCGCTCAACTCATCTATGTTTTTGTTTCTACTACCAATGCGGTTGGCTGATGTCACTACTACAAAAAGGGCAAAAGACGACCAGTAAACAACGACGGTAGATCAAAAAACCGTCGTTGTTTTTTAAAAGACGACGGTAATAGAAACTCGTCGTAGAAATATGCTTTAAACACCTAAAAAACGGGTACACGTATAGATATTTTTAAACCACGACGCACCAAATTAAAAAAGCGTCGTCTTATTACAAAGGTATTTTTCAGAGTTAAATCTGAACCTAAAAACAACGACTGCATCTATGAAATCACCGCCGTAGAAAGTAAAGACGACGATATAAAAATAAGACGCCGTGTTAATTAATTAATAAACACGACCCAATTTTCTTAGTCAGCGACGCATAAATTCAAAGGAATCTACGACGGTTAATTACAAAAAAAATCGCCAATTTAAATTAAGTTACCACGACTATAAATATAAATTTATCGACTTTTTAATTACAGTATACTACGATGGTATCCATAACTCTACTGTCCGCATAATTGTACTAACCACGACGGTTTGTTAAATTAACGACGTACAAAATTTTTTACCATTATTCGTCTATCATTACCAGAATGAACTCTGTTCCTCATCATAATCGAACCAGAATGAACAAAGGCAATGTTTTAGAAGTGGATGATGTGCCAATTACTCTCACAAGGAGTTTGAGGGCAAGAAGCTTGTCTCAGCCGCCAAGGAAGGTCTCAAGCTTGATGAGAGTGAAGACGAGGCAAAGAAGAAGGAAGAGTTGAAGGAGAAGTTTGAGGGACTCTGCAAGGTTGTGAAGGATGTTTTGGGTGACAGAGTGGAGAAGGTTGTGGTGTCTGACCGTCC